GGGGCGCGCCGGGAAGCGCGCCGGAAAGGCGCCCGCGCCGCCATCTTTGGGAGGGCGCAGAGCGGAACGGTACCGCCGCCATCTTGGGAAGGGTCCCTGAGGGGAAGCTTCCGCACCGCCATCTTGGGGAGGTCAAGGCATTTTTGTCCCGCCCGTACCGCCATGCTGGGAAGGGTGGAAATGCCTCTTCCCCAAACTGGGGCCATACTGGAGGCCACCGTCACCCCTGGGGTGGCAGGGGGTGACACTGGTCTGGCTCTCGTAGGTAACGAGCCCCTGTGCAGGAATGACCCCAAGGAGAGGTCGGGTGTAGGGTCTGCCCCTTCTGTCCCAAGAAGAAGAGAGAAGCCACCACAGCTACCCCAAAATCTATATTTTATTGTATAAAACCATACATACAAACCACGGCGACTTATCTGCCCGGCTTCGCATGGAGTTACCCAGCCTGAACAAGGAGAACAACCTGGATTTGTTCATTTGATCACCTTGGATGAATGGAAAAGCCGCAAACCCCCCTCGATTCATTTTGGGAGAGGCCGCTGGCACCTGAGGCACCTGAAAGGGCTGAAGTGCAGCCCAGCACCACGAGATTTGCCAAAAGGGTTAAAATTCCCAACACGCAAAACACCCAAAAACGCAAAGAGCACCCGAGGGGCACAAAGAGGCGATGGCGGAGGCGCTGCGAGGTTTTCAGGGGTCTCCTTGTTCACCAGGCCCCAGAGAAATCACCGTGGAGGAGGTGGGAGTGCTGGTGGTGAGGGCTTGGACCCTGTGCTGGTGTTAGAGCAGGTGAGTAAATCCAAATAAAGGTCTAAATATTGCCAGCCTGTCTAAAAAGACACCAACTCCACACCATTTACAATCACATCTATAAACGTCTTAGACATTGATAGTGTTGTGTAAAGAGGCTGCGTATAAAAAAATATATATATAAAAAAAACCCCAAATAGGCTTGTTAGGATGAGGACAGAAAACTAGAATACCTACAGATAATGCGATTTTTTTAAACCTCTATCTCAAAACAAGGACTATTGCTCGAATATCTGCCTGCCTCTGCGGCCAGATGTGTTGTGGTGTCAAGCAAAGGGCACAGGGGGTGGAAAGAGCAGAGTCCCAAAGGCTTTGTACCTCTGTCCAGGGGAAAAGGAGCAGAGAGAGCTCAAAACCGGGGCGAAAAAAGAAAAATTGAGGTTTATTTTCAATTTAATATTCCTACTCAAGACGCTGCGGGGTCTTCTGGGACTGGAAAAGTGGGGATATGGGAATTAAGTTGAGCAAGTCCCGGCTTTCTTAGCTGTGAGCGTGAGCTGTAGGAAAATTTTAATGTGAAAAAGGGCAATTTTTAATCTAAAGATCATCTGGATTTAGTACGGATACATATACAGGGAATAGGGACCTGTTCACGTAAAAAAATAGTGAATATAGAGGTGTTTGTGTCAGCAACGTTCTGTGCATCGCTGCTGCGTGCACCCGTGCTCTGCTCCAGGGGTTAAGCATGGTTCTAATTAACAATTAACGAGGACTTAAACCGTTCTGGTTAACGAGGGCTTAAACACTGCTCAGTTTAACCAAGCCTTGTGTTCTCTTTGGGGACAAGCCAAGCACTTTCCTGTGATTTTTAGTGAGCTCCAAAACCCTGGCGAGGCTTTTGAGACCTTCCCGGCCACGGCCAAGTCTGACATTTGGAGAGAACAGAGCGTCCAGCTCTCATTTCTTGTCAGATTTTCCAAAAAATCCCGAGCCAAACCGCTCCAAAGCTCCGCTTCCAGCAAAATAAAGCAGCCGCTTTGTCCTTGGGACAGGACTGGAGCATCCTCACCCTCGTTGGGCTGTAAGGACCCAAAGAGGATTGGGAAGGAGCAGAGCAGCAGGTTCTGATTAATTAAACGGCCCAATCCAATCCCTTAAGCACCACAGGGCCTTGTAGTGTGTCATTAAGTGCATTAATTACCTGGATAACGAACTATGTCCTGGCCCATAAGCGAAAAGCCAGTGCAGGAAAAGCCATAGGGGAATGGTGAGCCCAGAGCTGGAATTCTGCAGATTTAAACCTGCCCAAAACAAAATCCCAAATTTAAATCCCATTTCTGTGCTGGGGAGAATCCCCCACACAGCTACAGAGAATGCCTGGGTTGTTCTGGGTTGGTTTTTTTTAATTAGTGTGCTTATTAAGAAAGAGTTTTGATGGAGCCCTCCTCTACTGCAGACGCAGAAGGTGAAAAAAACTAAAGCAGGTCTGCACGGCAAGCATCAGCCCCCAAAACAGAGAGGATTTAGGGAGGAAGTGCTAAATTTAGGGATTATTGCTGGCTAAATAGCACCAACATAGCGTTAACACTGAAAGGCTGCTTCAAAAAAAAAACGAAAAGAAAAATTAATTTTAAAATTAAAATGTCAAGATTTCAAAAATTCAATTTCCAAAATTTCAAAATTTCAAAATTTCAAATGTCAACATGTCGAAATTAAAAATTTTAAAATTTAGAGTCAAAATTTAAAATTTTAAATCATCAAAATATTGAATTTTGAAATATTAGAAATGCTACATTTTGACATTTCCAACATGTCAAATGTTGACATTTTGACATTTGAAATTTTGAAGTTTGAAAATCTGAATTTTTAAAACGTTGAATTTTTAAAATTTTAAATTTCAATTAAGGAAAATTAAAAACGGATGGCAGTTTTGTAGCAGACAGGAGGCCGAGGAGCACGTCTAAAGCAAGTGTTAAAAGAGTTTAAAAATCTGTACAGGAGCTTAAAAAAAACCCCAAAAAAATCCTTTGAAATGTGCAAATGGGCCCCGGTTTGGGCAGAGGCGGGACCTGTGACGTGCTGGGGGGCCGGGGGTGACACCAAAGCCTAACAGCCCGAGGAGTGCATGCTCCCCAGCTGCCCCGCCGCCAGCATCAGGATGTCCTTCTTCTCCTTGTGGAAACGCAGCTCCTTCCCGGCCAGGCGAGCCTCGTCCAGCTCCCGCTCGGTGGACGCCAGCTCTCGGGAGAGGGCCCCGGGGCTGCTCTGCTCCCGGTTCACCCAGTCCATGGCCATCTGGTTCCTGATGTCGTCGTCCAGAGCGCGGTGGGAGTAGTGAGCCAGGACCTCCTGGTGGGATAACACAACCGGGGGGTTTAGAAGAGAAATGGCGATGCGGGACGCGTGTCGCTAGGTAGCATCTGATAAGGAGGAGGTTGCTGCTGAGGGAGCAACCGCTTGTGAAATGCGGAGCCCGGACTCACCTGCCGCGAGCACTGCCTCTCCCGCATGGCTTTGAGGCTCCCGTTCCAGTGCAGCAGCTGGAAGACGGTCATCAGCTCCTGCAACGGCAAGAGGGGGTCAGCTGCGAGCACACAGGGGGGACACGGGACTTTGGCAACACAAAAGGCAAAGGTATGGAGTCCATAAACAAAAACCTTGCAGTATAAATGAGTTAGGATTTATCAGAATTGTTATACTGGAGAAGAGGAGCTAAGGGGAGACCTTATCCCCTCTGCAGCTGCGAAAAGGAGGGGGGAGCCAGGGGGGTCGGGCTCTGCTCCCCAGGAACAAGCGATGGGACGAGAGGAAATGGCCTCAAGTTGTGGCAGGGGAGGGTGAGGTTGGATTTTGGGAGGAATTTCTGTCCTGCAAGAGTGGTCAAGCAGTGGCAGGGGCTGCCCAGGGCAGTGGTGGAGTCCCCATCCCTGGAGGGGTTTAACAGACGAGGAGATGTCCTGCTTGGGGACATGGTGGTGGATTTAGGGCTGGTTCGATGGTTGGACTCAATGGTTTTAAAAGTCTTTTCCAACCAAAACCACTCCCTGATTCTAAAAAGACAACAAAACCATTAAAATGGGGGAGGTGGGAGGCATGCCAGGTGTCCTACGAGCTGGGCTGCAAGGGCAAATCCCAGCTCACCCCACTGGACACAAATCCCCTGAACAGATGAGAGGATTCAGAGAGGAGACAAAGCCATCAATGATTCCCTGTGCCCCAGGGAGCTCAGGGCTCTGCCATCTTGCAGCCTCTGAGCTGAAGCCACAATGCGAGCAGGTGACAATCCCATGGTTTCCAAGCAAACACTGAATCCTGGGTACATCCTCACAGAGTGGCCAAGGGGGGATTCTGCCCCTCTGCTCTGCTCTGCTGTGGTGAGACCCCCCCTGCAGGGCTGTGTCCAGCTCTGGAGTCCCCAACACCAGAAGCCATGGAGCTGTTGGAGCGGGGCCCGA